CATATCCATGTATATATGTGTGTGTGTGTGTATGTGTATGTGAATACATATATATATATATGTATATATGTACATATACATATATATATATATATATATCTTATGTATACGTAGAGTATGTAACTTTGTGGCATGATATTCGACATTCGCGTTATGAGAAATACTTCGATCGTTATAACGTTTAACGAGATAATGAAAATTTAACGAGATTCATAAAAAGAGAGAAAGAAAGAGGGAGAGAGAGAGAGAGAGAGAGAGAGAGAGAAAAGAAAGGATAGATATTTCTACGTAACAACATGCGTATATATCTACAATTCGATAGAAAAAAACGTGCACCTTAGATACGTCGTTTGCCATCATCAAAGTTCTTCTCACAAAAAGAACTATCGGCGATTGTCATCAAGCACGTCCAAGTTTTTGATTATGCGTGATAAAATTTTCAAGAGGTAAAGAGAGAGAGAGAGAGAGAGAGAGAGAGAGGGAGAGAGAGAGAGAGAATTAGTTTCTATTGGACTTGAATGTTCTGAGTCGATCGACTCCCACGAGAGAGAAACGAACGAGTCGATTGGCGAACGCGAGATATCAGTGAATTCATCCGTACTTGGTTAATTCGATTCGCTTTTTTCTCATTCAACGGCGTACGAGCGACACGGGATTAATTATCGGTAACGAGAGAACGTGATTAATCGGTCGATGCGACGGGCCACAGCTGTGCGCGTGAAGAACAGAGACAGACAGAGACAGAGAGGCAGATAGATAGATAGATAGAGAGAGAGAGAGAGAGAGAGAGAGAGAGAAAGAGAGAGAGAGAGAGAGAAATGTGGGAGAAAATTCGAACGCACCGTTGTAATTCTCATCCACGATATCTCTGTGCATGTGCGTATCGAGAATCGAGTTTAAAAGTTCCTCATCCTTCCAACCCCTTATCCTACCAACCCATCCTACCCCTTATTCCGCGGTAAAACGCCTCGAGCTTCCTCAATATAAATTGACATCGATCGATATCGATAATTTTACTCGTTTAAATTGTTATTATTATTACAATAGGTTCGAATTGTCTGAGAAAAAATACATGGGGACAGAAAGAGAGAGAGAGAGAGAGAGAGAGAGAGAGAGAGAGAGAGAGAGAGAGAGTGAGAGAGAGAGAGGAAGAGCTAAAAAGCAGTATTGAATGCGTTTCATTTGACAATTAGATTAATTTCGAACGTTATATTATTAACGAGGAAAAAAAGAAAAAAAGAAAAAAAAAAGAATTAATTACAAAATACGATATATATTTAATCCATATCATTTCAAGGATAAATATTGTAATAGTAATAATAATGTTTTCCAATAAAATTCCAAACAAATTTTGGGCGATGTTGAAACTGCTAAATAAATATATTATATTATTTTTTTTTCCAAGAGGATTAGTTTATTAATTAAAAAAAAAAAAAAAAAAAAAAAAAAAAAAAAAAAAAAAAAAAACATAGAGCCATTTGTAAATGTTACAGTTAAATGGGAATAATATCGAGAATAATAGAAAAACAAACGAAAGAGAGAAAAAGAAAGTGATGATTGACAATATTTGAAGCTGGTTAAAACGATAAAGATTAAAAATGCAAGAATATGTCACGAAAGAGGATCGATCATAATGCATGGCTTTTTTTCTACGTACACATTCAGTATTCATAGGTAATATTATTTATACCTTTTTTAATAATTAATTAATTTATATATTATTATTTTTATTATTAGTTTTCACTTGCATGTTTCTAATTAATTTTATTGCAAGAATATTTTCTTTCTTTTTCATTGATATACTTCCGAATAAATAAGGAAGAAAAAAAGAAAGAGAGAGAGAGCGAGAGAGAGAGAGAGAGAGAGAGAAAACGAAAGAAAAGAAGATAAATAATCTTACGAAGTAGCGAATCTTTCCGTGCTTCCATGTTTCCTACTTATCCTGCAGTGCTCTGAGATAATTTTACCGAGTCGCGTGACCAGCCTACGATGTCGGCCAGAAACGGTAAATCACTAGGCGTGTTCGTAGGAGCAATTTGTAAAATTCGTCGGGACTATATCGAATGTTCCAAAAGAATTCGATCAATGTATTAAACGTTAAAAGAAATAACGTGATTCATCTTTGCGGTCGTTCGCACATAGATACTATACGGAATAATGCCGCGTGACGAGTAATGACAGATAATGACAAAGTATACGCAGGTGTACGTACGTAAACGAAGCACACACCTTATCTCACGAAACTTTTCGTGACTGTGGTACTCTCGAAGCCACGTATACCCATAAAATAAGTCGTTCCGGAAACTATGTTATTCCGTAGACGTAGTGAGTTGACGAGTGAGTGAAAGAGAAAAAAGAAAAAGAAAGAAAAAGAGAGAGAGAGAAAGAGAGAAAGAGAGAAAAATAAAAAGAGAAAGAAAAAGACAAATTGCCGCCGGTCGATAACTTTTTACTTATTAACACACTTCTTTCTCCCTTCTTTTTCCTTGAAAATGCAACATAGAAATATCATGAAAAGAAATACTAAATTGTCGTTTTATAACTTTGATATTCTACAAGCGTCTATTTATATTTAGTAAGTTCGATATTAATTATAGTAAAAAGATGAAAGTCTACAATGCTAGAAAAGTCTCTCTCTCTCTCTCTCTCTTTCTTCTTATCTTTATTAAACGAAAAGTACCAGAGAAATTCAAGTTCTTGTTTATATATGCGAAAACGTCGGAACGCCGATGAATGCAATAGGAGAAAAGCTCGAGGGCCTGGTAGACCGTGTACCACGAAAGTTTCAGCGGGCATTACGAAAGCATTTAGTAACCGCTGAACTTGCGCGTAGCAAGCTCCTCGTAAAAGTTAAAAGTTACAGGCCGCAGCTTGAAGTGCTCGACGCTTTACACTAGCGTTAACACTAGCGATATTATATTTGAAAATGTTTCCTCGGAAAATATTCACTAAGGACTCTTCCTCTTTCTCTTCCTCTCTCTCTCTCTCTCTCTCTTTCTATCTATCTATCTATTTCTTTTTTATTCTATTTAGATTATCACGATAAAGTGTAAATCGTAGATTGATATTGAATTTTTGTATACACGTAGAATATCACAAATTTTATCTCGATTAAATAATAATTTTACGAAAAAAGTAAATATTATTATATTTTAATATTATTATTAAATATTATTATATTGGAGATAAATAGATTCGCCAATTCGCTCTTCCTAATGACGGAAAACAAAAAAGAAAATACTAGACTAGTTTATGTAAGAAGCTTGGCAATACTTCGAGCAAAAACCGAAACGAACGAATGAACGAACCACGATAATACTATCGTCGAAAACAGCAAGACTGTATATATCTTCGCTTGAATACACCATCCTAGAAATTACGTAACGAAATGAAATACCAATGGTATTTAATTTACGAGTACCGTAACAGTTAACTTAATTAAGAATTGTGGAGTTTAACTGACAAAACAAGATCGTTCCTGTTGCCAAAAACTTTCATGAAAATTTCCTACGACAAGAACGTAATTTTACGATTATTTATAATCACATTTCTATGAATGAGTGATTAACGTTCGAAAAAAAAAAAGAAAAAAGAGAGAAAAAAAAAAAATAAATAAATAAATAAAAGAAAAAACAGCGAATAAATTAATCGATGCGATAACAAACCGATTTTTCTTTACATTCAAGTCATTAATTAACGCGATCGTAAAAGTCAGAAAAAAATCAAGAATTACGTGAGTTACATTTGTTTGGCATGCACGCGAAGAGAAAAACTACAATCGCGATGCATCTAAAGTTCGTTGCCATCTGGTCTATGCATTATGGGGGTGTGCGCGGACGAATTATTATAGCTATTTGAAATATACGCCTACGTCGTCTTGATGCATATCGACAATGATTAAGTTTCTATCTGCGTCCATGTAGGTAACATTATCTTTAGTTGGGACGAATAAATGAACGAACGAACGAATGAACGACTGAAAGAACGAACGAAGTCTAGGCGTGCCCAAACGATTATTTCTATTTCACGTTGATATTTATGTTCTATTATACACGTCATACTCTTTTCTCTCATGTCCTCTACAAACGATTTCAATCTATTTTTACGTATCCATACGAATTATTAAAACTTAAAATTTTACCAAAAAAAAAAAAAGAAAAAAAAAAAGGAAAAAGAAGAAAAAGAAAAGAAAAAATCATTACATATCTCATAGTAGTCATAAAAGATCGTTCGTTTAAGCGCGAATTATGTGAAGAAAATTTTAATTAGTCAATCGTACAATTGACGTAACAAATACTACGAAATCATTTTTATAACTTACTTAGAAATATTTAGATCGTCGAATAAATAATTGCCGAAAAGAATGAGAAATCTTTTACGTTATTCCATCGATGATTTAATATTTCTCTAAAAAAAAATGTATAAACTGACAACGAGTAAAAACTCATCCTCGATTTATTATTCTTCATATTTATATATATATATTTACGACGATAGATTTATATACGATAAAACGTAGTACGAGTTCTACCGACAGAAAGATATTATCAAACGTTCACGAATGTTATTAACATTTGTAAAACGAACACGGAATTCACTTGGGAACGTATTCGGAAACAAAAGTAAAGCGACTACTCACGCGTGAAACGTGATTCTCCTAAAACGAGAGAAACCAAACGCGTGTGTGTACGAATACCAACGGATAACATTCGAGTTTTAACGTAAAGCATCGTTCAAAGGGTAGCATCCGTCGTATTGTTCATACGAAGGAGAATTCGATTTCAACATTCGCGGTATTTGAAATTGCAATTAGGACGATGCACCGACGTTCAGGAAAATCATGTTCACCGATTTAACGAAGTTCATAGATAAATATGAATGGGACATAATCAACAATCGATCCATCGAATCAAATTTCGATAGGTATATAATAGCGTCTATCGATCGACATCAAAATGTCGAAAAAGTTTACATTTTTTAATTAGTCTCGATATGCTTACCTAAAAACGCTCTCGTCGTAAGAAAGGAGAATGCGAAGTGGCTGACTTATGCTACGCTTTTTCACTTCGTGTGCCGGCTCAATGTGGACACCGTGTATCAC